ATCCCAAATGGATACCAGTTTGAGTCTCGGCTGCTCCACTTCCGATCCAGCTCCCTGCTAATGCACCTGAGAAAGCAGTGGAAGATGACCCAAGTGCTTGGGCCCCTGCACTCATGTGGGAGATCCAGAAGAAGCTCCTGGCTCCTGGTTCACAGTGTCCCAGCCCCGGCGGTTGTGGTCATTTGGGGAGTGAACTAGCAGATAGAAGAACTCTTTCTGCCTTTAAAAAAATAAAATCTTTTTAAAATTTTTTTTTTTATTTTGAAAGAGTGACAGAGAGAGAGAGGCAGAGAGAGATACCTTCTGTCTGCTGGTTCACTCCCAAGATGGCTATAATGCCCAGCACTGGGCCAGAACAAAGCAAGGCACTTCCTCTGGGTCTTCCACAGGGGTGGCAGGGGCAAACACTCGAGATATCTTCCACTGCTCTTCCCAGGCCATTAGCAGGGAGCTGGGCTGGAAATGGAGCAGCCGGGACACGAACCAGAGCCCATATGGGATGCCCGTGTCGCAGGTGGCGGCTTTACCCGCTACACCACAGTGCCAGCTTCCTGATCTTGTTCTGTTTCTCATTGTACGCTTCTCCAGAGATGGTCCATTTGCCATGACACTCACACAATGTCACCCATGGCTGTGGATGCCACTTTTGTAACATTAACAGCTAAGCGTTGGTCTCAACAGGCATTAGAAGAAAACACATGACCAGTCAGAAACAGGTGCTTTTGTGGATCTCATTGCTCAGAGCAAGGCCAAGTTCAAAACCAGCCCCTTGAAAGGGGAATATCAGCTGAGGAGCACAGAGTGTCCGGGAGTATGGTGCTGGGGAGGATGGTAGCCATGGTAACACTACCAGCATCACCCATAGGAGTAATGATGTTGGTACCTCTTAGCTGAACGCCTGCACCTGTCGGCCACTCTTGCTGGTGCTTCCCATGAGTGACTGCACTGAATCCTTGAATCAACCCAAACCAAGGAGGCACGATTACTGCCTCCACTCCCTGGGGAAGAAACAGGCACAGAGAGGCCAGGCAGTTTACCGATGCTCACACAGCTCATGGGAAGGGGAGCCAGGATTAGAACCTAGGCCATCTGGCTGCAAACACTCATGCTAATGTTTACGGCAGTCCCTCTGCTGTTTGTGACAGTCCCACTAGTGTTTAAGACCTTAAGGCCGGCTGCAGAGGGCCCTCTCCCAACACCATCCAGCCCTGAGCCTAGTCCCGCCACTGCCGGCCCAGCCAGGCCCAGCAATCCGCCCTCCCCACGCTCACCTCTGCACTTGCCTGTCTCTCTGACATGCCTGGAAACCCCAGACGGACTGCTGGGGTTCAGACGTGGCAGGTGTGTCCCCACTATGCTGACACTCGCCAGCCTGGCTCCGCCCCACCTCCTTCGCTTGTGTGCTCCGTTCCGTGCATGCGCTCTCCCAGTGCACCTGCCAACCCTTCTGCCTTCCCACAAAGCCTTCACCAGGAGCCACGTGGATGCCGGTGGCGTGCTCTTGAACTTCCAGAACCGTGAGCCTGAACAAACCACCGGGCTTCGTGAATGACCCAGTCTCGATTGTTGTTACAGCAACGAACACCGAGGAGCACAGCAGCTCTTCGGGGAGCTTCCTGGTGCAGGATCTGTCTTCCAGGAAGGCTTCCCTGGCATCCCCCTCTCCAGCACCCTCAGGGACTGCCCCACCCTGGCCCGGCACTGAACGAGGGCTGTCGGTACTGGACCATGAGCTCCATGAGGGTGGGGAGGCATCAGAGCCTCCCGGGGTCCCCGTGCCCAGTGCAGGCCGGGCTGAGAAGGGGAGAGCTGCAGGGTGGTGAGCATGCCCTCCCCGGGTGCAGGGAGCCCCAGCGGCTTCTATCCCTTCTGTGGTGCCCACCCCAGGCTGTCCCCGGCCCACTAGGGCAGCCCCCTCTGGAGTGCAGCTGGGTGGCTGGGTCGGGGAGGGCCTGCAGGAGCCCACCCCGGGTGAGGATTTGGGCTGAACCAGTCTCGGCACCCACGGCGATCAGGAGGCGGCTGCGGGAGGGTGCTCACCTCAGCGTTGCTCTCCACGCTGCAGCACTGCAAACAAGCAAGCTGCCCGTCCGCTGGGGATCGCTCAGGGTGCTCTCGCTGCATTGGAGCCGTGCAGCTGGCCTCTGCTGCCGTCCGCAGCGTCGTCCTGCACAGCGCTGCCCTGCCAGCCACAGTGGCCCCGGCCTCTCCAGCTGGGAGCCTTTGCGCGTGCTCCTCCCGCTGCCCAGAGCTCCCTGCCCTCCCCTCCCGACTCAGTGAGCTTTCACTGACTTCTCACGCCCAGCCCGGCCATCGCTTCCCCAGCAAACCCCTCCTTGGCCCAGCCAAAGCGCCCCCCACCCCACCCGGACCCCAGACCCCAGGGCTCACAGGAGCTCGTTCTGCTTGCAGTGGCCTGGGAGCTGGCAAAGGGTGATGGATCCATTGTGTTCCTAGTGTAAACACCAGAACGTTGCACAGTGCCTGACACACAGCAGGCACTTAATGTGTGCAGGGAATCCACCTAGGATATATTCACCTACTGTACACTCAAGTGCTGGAAAAACAGAGGTTGCGACGACCTCCCCTCCCGCTGTGAGCTTGCTACAGTGCGACACAATGAAAGCACATGCGGTTGGTGGAGGAGAGCACCCCTCCCGCCCAGCTGTGCCCCCTAGGCCTTCGCAGTCTGAGTGCCACTCATGAGGTCTGCACACGAGGCCGTCACCTGACAGCCCAGAGTGCACGCGGCGGCCGTAGCACACGGGAAAACTGGGAAGGCCCAACAAGCACACTGGCGACAGGAACCGCAAGCAGGGGAGGGCTGCGCTGACAGCTCCTCCTCTCGCTCCTCCGCGTTCTCAGCTGCAGCACACTCCGAGGACTCAGACTACAGACTACAAAGGCACGAGCTCACTGCCCGGGGCCCCGGGCCTGCAGGAAGGCAGGCGTCGGGGGCCGGCGTTCAGCACAGCAGGGTAAGCTGCTGCCTGCACGCCTGCACCCACGTCAGCGCCAGTGCGAGGCCCAGGTGCTCTGCTGCTGACCCGGCTCCAGCTCACTGCTGAGGCCCGTGGGGAGGCAGCAGGCGATGGCCCCCATGCTTGGGCCCCTGCTACCACATGAGAGACCAGGACTGGGCACCGGGCTTCTGGCTTTGGCCTGGCCCAGCCCTGGCCATTGTGGCCATTCAGGGAATGAACCAGCAGATAGAAGATCTCTCTCTCTCTCTCTCTGTGTCACTCTGCCTTTCCAACACCTAAAATAAATATTAAAAAACAGGAAGGTTGGGGCCAGTACCGTGGCGCAGTGGGTTAACACCCTGGCCTGATACGCCAGCATCCCACATGGGAGCCAGTTCAAGACCTAGCTGCTCCTCTTCCCATCCAGCTCTCTGCTGTGGCCTGGGAAAGCAGTAGAAGATGGCCCAAGTCCTTGGGCCCCTGCACCCACATGGGAGACCTGTTAGAAGCTCCTGGCTCCTGGTTTTGGATCAGCACAGCTCCAGCCATTGTGGCCAACTGGGGAGTGAACCAACGGATGGAAGACCTCTCTCTTTGTAACTCTTTCGAATAAATTTTTTAATTAAAAATGCCCAGGTGCACGTGTGGGTGCACCAGACACACGTGTGCATACATGCACATGGGCATTCACAAGAGACTTGAGAAGGGAAAAAAAATCTATAGGCAATATCATATTTTTAGTGCTAAATGGTGCTAAAAGCATTTCCCTGCACGCTTTGGAGAGGGAGAGTAGCTTGGCTGGTTTGGGAGCGGAAAGCTGTGCCGGCGGGGTCACCTGGTATTGTCCTCATGGCCGGCCAGATCTGGCTGCGTTGGCACCAGTTGTCCCCGAGGGCAAGGTAAAGTGACCCCCACGCCAGAAAGAAACCCAGGCCTGCGGCTGCGTTAGGGCTCCAAGGGTTTAAGACGAGCCAAGGGGAGGAACTGTCTCCACTGCGGAGAAGACCATCCTGTAGCTGCTTCTGGGGACCCAGGCGATCCTGAGTTGAGGGCTGTGCCCTGAGTGATCACCCCACATCCCACACCAGCCACCAGTAGCAATGGCCCCAAGGCAGCCTGTTACAGAATGGTGGAGCTACCTAAGGAATCTTCCAGAAACAACACCTTTGGTCCATGGAAGGAGACAAGGAGTTTGCCTCCCTGCTCCTGTCTGGACAGGGTCATGTCTGGATGTGATGTGATGCCTGGATTTTGGCAGCCACCCTGTGTTCCTGCAGACATCCACTGTGTCAGGCAGGCCCTATGCTGAACGTGTGACCTCAACTGTTCTAGTCTTTCTGGGTAGGGGAGGTAAGATGCAAGAATGAAGGGAGGAGCCCGTGGGCAAGCTGCAGCTCCCTGGCTGTGGAAGGGTCTAAAAGACGAGTGTCCAGGACAGGTCTGTGAGCACAGAAGGCTGGGGCAGGGTGGTCACTGGGGGTGGAGGCGAGGCTTCTTGGGCCAGGAAGGGGGTCTCAGGGAGACAATTAGATGCATTTCAGGGACAGGGAGGCTGGATGTAGAGGGTGAGGGGCACAGTGGGCCCTTCCTTGAGGGGACCCGTGTGGGATGTGGCCACTCCTCCGTGCTCACACCACAGCAAGAGCCCGGGGAGGGTGTGTGGCCTGTGCTCCGTGCCCACAACAAAGGAGGCTTCAGATTCCCCAGGCAGAAGGGAGAATCCATGTCAGGGACAACTCAGGGCCCCCGCCTGTCAGCAAATCTGGCACCCACTCCACAGCTCCCAGGACAACAGGTAGGGGGCGCTCAGGAGGCCAGGAAGGGCTGCAGGGACCGAACTAGGTCCTGAGGGTGGGGGGAGCTGGCAACAGCAGGGGACACGAGCAGAGCGTGGAAAAGGGAGCAGGAGGCCGAGGTGATGCATGGGCAGGGCCACCTCATCCTCAGACACCCCCTGGCTGGACCCGGCGCGATGGGAGGCAGCCTCGGGAGCCACGGCCCAGGACGTGGGGAACCCCAGCAATGACCACACCCCTCTAAGAAAGGCTCCGGAGCTTTATTTAGTAACCAGGTAGAACAGCTCCTTACATCCAGGGTGTCAGTGTGGGCTCAAGTAACAGACAAGGCACTGGCTTCCCTTCTCCAGCTCTGGAAAAATCCAAGCCTGGCCACAGCACTGAAGTGGATTCACAGCAGACCCTGACCGTGACCCTGACCGTGACCACAGCCTCCGCAAGCACTGCGCACAGGCATGGCGAGTTCCAGCCACGAGGCCTCCGGATCCCCCGGGGACGGCACAGTGCCTCCTTGGAGCAGGGGGCTGGGCTCTGATCCCGGTTGGGGTGAGGGGAGAGAAGTGGCCTATGTCTTCTTCCTAGGCCTTCCGGGAGGGGGAGGGCGCTCCCCACTGCCCTCCCAGCTTAGCTGCCTGGGGACCTGCGGGGTGGGCCGGGCTCAGATCTGCGAGAACACTGGCTCTTGCTGCAGAGGCGGGCGCGGGGGTCTCCAGGCAGGAGGAGGGGACAGGTACTGCGCGGGAACCCCACTCGGGACTTTCCAGCGGGGCCCGGCGCCATCTGCCAGTTGTCTCTGGGACAGAGGAACCTGGAGGATGGATGTCTTCTCACAGTGGCTGGAAGCAGGCGCATGGGGTGGGGGCAGCCCTGCCTAGCTCATGTGCAGGGGCATCAGGCTGCATTCCTGAGGCGCCCTGGGCGGCGGGGGCAGGAGCGGGGCACTCCCCTAGTGGCTGCACTAGGAAGGAGTTTAAAACAAAAAAAAAAAACCTCCAAAACTAACTAGAAAATCTTTCCCTGAGAATACGATGGAGCATCACCCGCGTGCACGCGCAACTTCCGACCACAAGAAGCCTTGAGGGGGGGGGCAGCGCTGGCGACGCAGGGAAAGCGACACCACGGCTGCACGGCCCACACATAACGCATAACGGAGGCGGCCGAGGAGGAGATGGGCATGCTTCAAGCCCTGCGTCCGAGATGAGTCCGTGGGCACAGCCTAACATGGTGCCGCCCCTTGGTGCGGTTACTGGGAGGCGTAGGCCGGGCTCCAGAGCCCGGAGGGAGGGCTGGCTTTGCGACCAGGAGGCAGTGTGTTGAGGGAGGTGATCGGCGACTGGGCCGTGAGATCTAGGGAGGGAATTTTGAGAGACAGATAAGTGAGTGACAGCAGCAGGGACAGGCAGATGCTCCATAAAGCCCCAGCCACAGCACGCATGGCCCAACACCGCCAACTGTCGCGGGAATGACGCTAACGCTGCCCTGAGGCGACCTGGCCAGCAGAGGCAAATCCACACACACGGGCCAAGGGCATGACCCCTAAACTCCAGGGGCCCAGGCCTGGCCGGGAGAAGGCGTTATCAGTTACAGGAGGGAGCAAGCTGTATGAACATAGACTCTGACAGCAGCAGCGGGCGCTGGCGTGTGTGGGGCCAGTGCAGAGGCCCTGGTGTGGCTCCACAGGGAGCCAGAGGGAGCAGCAGCTGGGACACGGCCCTGAGCGGCACCAGCACAGGGGAGAACGCCCTCACATGGGAGTCGGGAGACTCAGGGCTGCTGTGTGCAGTTACCATGGCTGGGCACTGCAGTTCTAGAAAGAGAGGTGTCCCCTGGAGTCAGGCAGGGTCACAGGCCCAGGAGCCCCTTGAGGAAGAGCTGGGCCACACAGTGCAACCCCGGAGCAGGACTGCCCTGCTCCGCATGTCCGAGTCAGCCACTCCTCCTGCGGGAGCCCACAAAGGGGAATCTGGTCTGCAGGTGCACAGCTCCCTGCCACCGCCCCATCCACCCCACCCCGGATCTGCCCTGCCCTGGGCCGGACCTGCTGAGGCTGAGGGGCTACTTACAGTGGGGACTGTGCCGCGGGCTGGCTCGGGGCGTGAGGGCTGGCGACATGGCGAGCTCCCGGGGTGCGCAGACCGTGTGGTAGGCTGCAAGAGTGCACAGCTGTCAGCACAGCGGGGGCCGGGGATGCACACACACATACTCCCAGGCCCCTGCCCCTGCCTCACCTATGATCATGACGGCCGTCCCAGCCAATAGGGCAAAGAGCGTGAAGAACATGACTTGGTAGGAATCCAGGAAGTGCTGGAAGAGGCTGGCCCCATCTGCACCAAAGGAAAGAAGTGTCCCAACACTGCCAGGGCGGGATGGGGTCCCCTGGCGCTCCTGCATCTGCGGGGCGGGGGGGGGGGGGGGGGAGGCAGGCCAGCCCACACACGCGCCTGTCTCAGCCCCAGGGCAAGGCGGCCTGCCTCAGGCCGGGGCAGCAGTCCGAGCTATCGCCACTCAAAGCAGACCCCGTCTTGCCGAGACTCGGCTTCCTTCCAGGGCTGCCCCTCTGGCACTGCTGTGGAGCCAGCTCAGGCGCTGGGGGGCCGCAAGCCTGCCGGTGGCCCACCCAGGAGGCTGCCTGGGCCCGGCGCCTCCCAACCTCCACCCTGATGTGCTGCTGTTGTTGGCCCTCCGCCTCCCCAGGCTGCTGCAGCCACGACACGTTCCTGCTTGGCAAGAGGCACGTGCTCGCCTCATCGGGGACCCTTGCGTCCGCCCTGGCCACTCCCACCAGGCAGCCAGACCTGACCACGCCTCCGCCCACAGCTCTCCCTGCCTCTGCCTCCCGGAGGCCCCGCTGGCGCAGCCCCTTGGAGCTGCACAGAGAGGAGACGAAGCCCTCCCTCCCCCCTCACCCTCCCTCCCCCCTCAGCTGCTTTTCTACCAACACCTTCCCCCTGCGTGGGCAGCGCGGGGGCCTCTCCCTCATCCGCCTGGCACAGGGTCCGGCCCCCAGAATCCATGAGTCCACGCCTCCAGCAGCACTCCCACGGGGCACCCACTGTGAGCCACGCGGGGCCTTCTGAGAACTGGCCCCATGGACTCCACAAGGACGCGCAGGAGCCCTCGGGATGACGCCGCGGTGTGCAGGCGGCAGCGCCGGGGGTAAGAGCAGGGTGCAGGTGTTGGGAGTGAGGCCCGAGAAGGCAGCATCTGAGGGAAGGTTCGCAGGTGAGGGTGTGGGGAACAGCATCCCAGGCGGAAGGAACAGCAGGTGCAGGGGCTCGAGCTGGGGCCTTACATGTTCCAGGAACAGGAAGGCCAGAGCGGCTACAGCAGGGGTGGCGTGGGTGAATGAGAAGGGACTGGGGGCGGGGGTGCAGGCCCCGCAGGCCGCAGGGGCCGTGGTAGAGGCATGGGCCTCAGCCCGGATGGAGGTGGGACAGCCTACACTCCCGACCCCTCTGACACGCCCGGGCCGGCTGCAGCTCAACCCTCCCTGCTGGCCCTGTTCCAGTGCCAGTCTTGCCTCACGACTCACAAGGACTGGGCCCGCGGCGGTCCATCACGAAGGCCACAGTGACCGGGATGCTGATGGCCTGGCTGGTGGCGGGGCTGGAGAAGGTCAGGGCGGTGGACAGAGGCCCCTGGCTGCCGGCCGTGGGGTCCGAGACGCCGACCGTGTATGTGATGAAGCTGGGCAGTCCAAAGGACTTCTCCTTGGCGAAGGCCAACACGGCTGGGGACCCGGATTTCACCTGGAGAGAGGTCGGGGCTGGGGGGCGGTGCTGGTGGGCGGGCCAGCGGCTGTGTCCAGCCCACCTCTAGGCATCCCTCCTAGGACCTGCCTGGCTCACCCCTTCTCAGCAGTTGCTGACCCGGGGCCACTTCAAGAGGGCTGCACTCAGTCTGCACACCAGGGGGCAGTGTCTACTCTCCGGGTGTTTCTTAACGAAAGGGTACCTCGGTGCTGTTTTTAAAAAGGCTAAAGCAGCACAGAGCACCGAACACTGCTCTCCTCTGTTATGGGCCTAGTTCCTGCAGCCGCAGACCGGGGAAGCCCGGCCAGCAGCAGTGAGCCACAGCAAGATGGGAGAAGAAGCAGCAGCCCAGACTCCTCTAACTTCCCACACCACGCCAGCTCACTCTCCCCTGCCTGGCCAGGCCCCAGCACCCTGCTGACCACTGGCCACCCATGTAGCAGATGGGAGAGGAGGGGCTGCAGGCGGGGCTTCATCCTGGCTCCTGGGCCCTGTGCGAGGTCCCTCCCCCAACCCCTGGCCCTCATCTGCACAGCACACGCAGGGTGAGCACAAACTGCGCCAGGCGGACCTCTGAGCTGGGGCCTGTAGAGATCATGGCGAAGGCCACAAGTCTGTACACTGTCCCGTGGCAACGGTGCTGAGCACGGAAGGGAAGAGCGGGAGGGCCGGCCCAGGGCCTCCTCTGCTCTTCTTCCTCCCTGAGGCCGCCAGCCCCACCCGCCCCCCTGGCCCTGCCTGGCGCGATGCTGCCCACCTCCAGGTTCTCCAGGACCTCGGCAGCTCCGAAGACTTTGACCTCTGAGCTGGTGTAGTGGTTGCTCAAAAGGATTTCGGCCTGGTCGGCATACAGCCCTGGGCTGAAGGGCACCTCGGCCCCGACCTGCTCTGCGGAGAAGTGGCTGCCGGGGAGCGAGGCAGTGACCACCAGGGCCGTCTTCTTCAAGCTGAGGTGTCTCTGCTGCTTGTCCGTCAGCCTGTGCATGCTGACTGAGCAGACGTACTGGCCTGTGGAGACAAGAGTGTTCCACCTTGTCCTCTCTCCCACCTGTTTGGCTCTCTGCCTCTCAGACTGGGGGACTCCTACACATCCTGCGAGCCCAGGAAAGAAGTCACCTCCTCCAGGAGGCCTCTTGGGAATCCCCATTCAGGACCAGAGCCCAGCTAAGATATCCACTGTGTGACTAGAGGTCCCCTCTCACTGTCTCACAACCTCCTAAACTGCAGATCCACCCCCAAGGGGCACTTCTGGGGCAGGAAGCAATGTCGGCTCACCAGCCGGCCTGGCCTAGAGAGGCTGAGTAAATGAAGAAAAGATGGCGTGACCCCACATCGGGCCACAGGTCCAGTAGGGGCAGCCCCAGACACTGCAGAGGCCCATGAGGCGTGGACTGTCCCTACTCTGGTCCCCAGCCCGCCCACCACACCTGACCCGGGGTGGACACACTTGATGGACTGAACACTGCTGAGCAGCTCCTGGCGAGCCCTGTGAACCCAGAAGTGGGAAGCCTGGGCTGGAGGCCCTACCACGGCCACATCAGTAAGCGGCCCCCAGACGAATCAGCTTCTCTGCTGCCCTAGGCATGGGCCCAGCACCCAGTGTGCCCGCAGGAGGCATGTCTGTATCTCAGAAAGTGGCCCCTTCGCTAGAAGCTGGTGGGCCGGCAGCCACTCCAGCCACAGTGCTGGCCTTCAGCCCCGCTGCTCTGGCTTCTGGGCTGGGGAGCAGCCAGGCTTGGGTTCAACTGCCCTGCCGTGCGGTTTAGTAAGAACTCCCCCACCTGCCTCTCTTCACCCTCCTACAGCCACTGTCCCCATTTCCCCGAGGGCTGGGCAGAGCACAGGAGGAGCAGCACAGCTTCTCAGCTCTGACCTGTGCGTCCTCTCTGCTGGGGACAGCAGTTACTAGCGATCACCACGGCCCAGTGTGGGGACGTAAACCCTTCCTTCCGGCACAAGAAGCTGGAAGGAAGCACACGGCCCTGGGCAGTGCTCTGGGTGACCTCTGCCCTCTGGACGGATGGTCGCCTGGAAGGAAGCACACGGCCCTGGGCAGTGCTCTGGGTGACCTCTGCCCTCTGGACGGATGGTCGCGGTGAGTAAAAGGCACAGGAGACCCCAGGCATTGCGCAGGGCCGCCCTCACGCTCACGCCCCTGCAGCTTTACCCAGAGCAGCGTCGAAGCCCGGCTCCACGGTGAAGATGTCCCGCGCGGGGAAATCGAAGACATCTTGCTTGAAGCGGAGCTGACAGCCGATGAGCGACTCCGGGTGCAAGGCCTGGATGGCGTGCGTCTGCGCTGGGGAGCACGTGCCTGGAGGTGGGCAGCGGGGGAGAAGGGCGTGGCCAGGTCCGCTGAGGCCCTGGGGAGGCGGTCCGGGTGGGAACGCACCTGCCTAAAAGCTGGGCGATGGGGCCGCCACTTTGTGGGCACGGGGCCCCGCTGAATCATGGGTAATTTCAGGTCAGAGTTGCAGCATCTGTTCTAGAGCATGCATCGGAGGCACGGCTCACGTACCAGCCCCACGACTGCGAGCAGGGAGATGAGACATTGACCTGCGGGGGTTCGCAGTGCCTCCGCCCTCCTGCGCGGCCTGGGCAGCTCGGGGGTGAATGTACCCAGCACATCCCACTCATCAGCACAGAAGTGGTGCTGTCTAATCCCACCGGTTAAGTGGTTTTGAGGAAGACCCGGCCTGTATTGACTTATTTATTTCTGCAGCTGCTGTCAGGGACTGTCGCAGGCAGCAAGGGAGGCGGGATGCTCTATGCATGGCTTGGGAGAGGTAATTATAAAAGGCAAAACCGGCCGCCAGCTCTGCTCTCATTAGATTCTGCCATTAATGGCGGTGAACAGTGGCCTGGAGCTGAAATCACATCTCCAACCCAGAACGAGGCAATTTCTGGGTGCTTTGATGAGGATTCCTTAGACTGGTTCAGCTTGGGAGGAAGAGAATATCTAAAAGCTGCGAGGAGCAGCCAGGCTGGGTCAAAGGATGGGGCCGCATGCTCTCCCTGGAGCTGGCAGGAATATGACCAAAGGAAGCAGGTGAAGCCGTCAGAGGGGCCCAAGAAGCCATCTCCTCCCCTACCCCACCCAGACTACCCAGGCCCGACCACCACACCTCTGAGGTTGGAGCTTCCATCTCCACCCCGACCCCGCTCAGACTACCCAGGCCCGCCCACCACACCTCTGAGGTTGGAGCTTCCATCTCCTCCCCGCCCCCGCCCCCGCCCCCGCCCCTCTCCTCCCTGCCCCACACAGACCAGACTACCCAGCCCTGCCCCCCACACCTCTCTCCCTGACCCTGCCCAGACTACACAGCCCCGCCCACCGCACCTCTGAGGTTGGAGCTTCCATCTCCCACGGCAACAGTCACTCTGGAGGCTGCGGCCTCCTGGAAGTCGGTCTCGATGGGGTGGACACGATGGGCCACGATCCTCTGAGGGACCCCGACAACTATCTGGGACGGGACAAATGGGGCCAACTGTGTGTGCTGCCTTGTGCTGTGCATTTCATCACCTCACCCTGCAGCCTAGGACACGGGTGGGACCCACTCCCAGGTAATAAGACTGAGGCCCCATGCCTAAATGTCTGGCTTCCTCCTCCTCCTGCAACCTGCAGGAGGGTCTATGGCCTTCACCTTGCCCTCTCTTGCTTGCCCACCCTACGGCTGCAGCACAGACTAAGCAAGCCGTCGGGTTACACTGCGGGATTCCATGTGGCCCAAGCTGCCTCTGTGGAGGCAGCGGGTCTGGACCCCGGCTAGCCTCTGCTCAAATGCACTCTCGGCTGGAGATGAGAGGGAGAGTGGTCTTGTTCGCCTCCAGAGAGACCAGAAGGCTGACTCGCCTCGGCTGGAGGTTCCACTTTGCCAATGGCTGGGCTGCCCCGCCCACGACGGCAGCTATAGCCAGGCTCGGCAGCCACTGCACAGGCCACCTGTCGTGACACAAAGTTCAGAGGGAAACAGAGGCCTGGAAGAGAGAACCGGTCCCCACCCCAGAGCCCAGAGCCGGGGTGGCCAGTGCTAGACTCATGACTGCCAGCCCGCAGCGGCCAGCACGCAGCTCTCTTAAAGGAGCAGGAGCCGCAGGACACAGGTTCACTCCCACCATGCCTGTTCTGCCACCTCACAGCTCCTCCCTGCAACGGCCTCATTTGAGTCACTGCAAGGCGTCTATACAGGGAGCCCCTTGGATCCTGGCAGCCTTGGGGGTCTGGACCTATCCCCCACGGACACCGAGGGATGGCAGAGCTGAAAGCTGAGGATTGCAGGCCGAAATCCCACCTCCTTGTAGGTCCTCAGGTGCCCCGCGACCTCGTAGTAGACCGTCACGGATCCCGCAGCCCGGGCCACGGCCACACCGGTCTTGGGGTCAATGTCGAGGATGCTGCTGGCTGAGGAGCTCCAGGTTCCTGCGAGGCCTGGGAAAGAAGCCGGTGTCCCCGTCTCACCCACGTCTGCACACTCTGGCCGCAGCCCACCTCACCTGGCTGACCACTCGAGCCTCGGCACTGGCCCCCACTGCCCAAGGGGGCTTCCTCAGCACCAGGAGGGGACCACACTGCCCACTCCCCATGCTCCTGACTCCCGCCACAGTAGGCCCCTACTGCACCTGCTCTCTGCCAGGCTGCAGCTCCCCACCCCCCGCCTTGCTTCCCTGCTTGGACTCGCTCCATCGTCCTTGCATGAAGCATTGCCTGGCCTCTGATCCCAGGCCCAGCCCCCTGCAGGCCCTCCCCACCCCCCGCCACACACACACACACGTTAGCAATCCCTTTTTAGCAAGCAGAAAACGTCTCAAGCTGGGAGCTGTCACTAGACAACACTTCTGAGTTCAAAGTCAATCTCATTATACCACAAATACCATAAAAGAACTCAACAATAACCACCTTCTATTTATGGCACATTACGTTCATTTCTCTGTAAAGGTAGTGTTTAATTTTCTTTTAAAATGAATTTAATGAGTTTTTTTTTAAAGAGAGGAGCCAATCTAAAGAAGAAACTAAGAAGGTAATTGCACATGGAGCAGACACAGTCAGGTGGTTTGACAAGAGCTGAAACTTGGGATCCAGTTTTGGCTGAAGTCTCCAGAGCAACACCGTCTGTGCAGTGGCTCCGGCTGTGGAACTCATTAAAATGACCAATCAGGCTCCTTATTGCATCAGACGAGTACCAAGCGTCCCCTTGCTGGAGGCCACAGTGCCAGGCCAGGGGGGTGACAGTGGGCATTTCCACACAGCAAGGGGTGGCAGACCTGCTCCAGAAGGGGTCAGAGTCAGGTATGGGGCTGGGTGGCCCCCAGGATCTCTGCTGTTCCATCTGGCCACGGGTGAAGGTGACGCAGCCAATGACACATGGTGAGTCTGGGCCTTCTAAGAGCCGCAAAAGCCAGCAGCAAGCTGGAGCCCGCCCACCCCGGGGACGGTGTCCACCCCTGCTCAGGAGAAGTGGCCCGCAGGCATCTGCCCACTCCCTGCTGGGCATGAGCCGAGACACCAGGGGTTTCCCCGAGCAGGGTCCCGCTCACCTTCGAGGCCGATGAGGACGGTGGACAGACACAGGACGTCTCCCACCACCGCCCCTCTGGGTAGCTCGGGGGAAATGGCCTGCAGCACGGGCAACGGCACGAAGTCGGAGAGGCCCAGCTGCTGCGAGTCCCACACACTGAGCAGTGTCAGGCCCACGCTGACCGTGCGGACCACGCAGGTGTCGTTGGTGGCGCCCTTCCCAATCTGCACGAAGTCATCTCTGGTGCAGGAGACAGACAAGGGCCTCAGTCCCAGAGGAACACAGCCAGGTCCTCCGCTGGGCCTTACGCTCCACTCCGCTCTCAGACACAGCCCCAGGGCACCTGTGCCAGCAGCTGCTCCAGGGGAGCGACCACAAGTCACAGTACAGCAAACTTGACCTCTGACCTCACCACTTGCCTGTGGTCTCCCCCTTGGAGCTGGAGGGTACCCCGCCCCGGACAGGGGTCCTCTCAGTGAATGTGCACATCTAGCGGCCCCCGGGGAGCCACCACTGCGGGTCTGGGTGCCACTCTGGGAAGCACTGCAGGAGGCCAGGGTGGAACTATAGCTCTCTTCCGGAGGCTCCCCCTTTCTGCATGCCAGGGGCGAGGCTGGAGTCGGACTTCCAAAGGGTCAGACTGAAAGAGCTGCCCATGGGGCTTGAACCCCATGTCCGGCTGTTTGGCCCTGGGCAAATGGCTCGCCTTTTCTTGGCCTCTGCACCTGGGCTGCGGTGAGCAGTCAGAGCAGTGCCTGCACTCCCTTCTGGCTGAAGCCTGCACATGCCAAAGTAGGGGTTGTGTTCACCCCACATTTACAGCTTCTAGAAGCGAAGATTTGGGGCTGATGTCGTGGCGCAGTAGGTTAATCCTCTGCCTGCAGCACCGGCATCCCACCTGGGCACCAGTTCTAGTTCCGGCTGCTCCTCTTCCAATCCAGCTCTCTGCTATGGCCTGGGAAAGCAGTAGAAGACAGCCCAAGGGCCTGGGCCTCTACACCTGCGTGGGAGACCTGGAAGAAGCTCCTGGCTCCTGGCTTTGGATTGGCGCAGCTCTGGCCACTGTGGCCATCTGGGGAGTGAACCAATGGAAGGAAGACCTTTCTCTCTGTCTCTCCCTCTCACTGTCTGTAACTCTACATCTCAAATAAATGAATAAAATCTTAGAAGCAGCAGCAGCAGCAGCGAAGATTTGCATCTACAGATGGTGGGGATGGACTAACAGGCCAGAACACTTCTGCCTCCTCCAGGGTCCACCTATCATGGGCTTGTGGAAATCTCAGAACAACCCTGGCCTCTGCGTTCTGCTTTTGCCCTGTAGGGGTCACTGCCTCCAATCACTTCCTGCCACACAGGAATAAAGAAAGGGGTTGGGCCGGGCTTCCTCCCTCCACCACACACCTTGTGTTTCCTGGCAGAGCCCCCTGGGGCACGGCGTGTGTTCCCCCCCAGCCCCCTGGGAACCACACACAAGAGACAACCCACTTCAATGGCATTCGCCTCTGCTGTGACCCAGCATCTGTACCCTGCTGGTCCAGACAGGACCTCACCAAGGCAGAAGCAGCACCCGCACCCTACCTGTTGGTGGCAAAGTTGAGGACAGAATTGTGAGCATGGAAGATGTCCCCAGAGTTGTCATGGGAGTGGACGGTGAAGGTCACGGTCATCCCCAAAGGCAGGGCGGCCAGGGCCTCGTTGTTCTGGGTGTGCAGGGCAGGGCTCATGGAAATCCTCAGGTAGGACACAGGAGATACCTGCAGGACCACACACAGGCAGATGACAACCTGGGCCAGGAACGGGGCTCCCCTACAAACCTGCCCCGAGCAGGTCCCGATGACTGCACCCCTCGGACTTTCCCAACCCAGTGACAAGGTTCCCATCACCCACCCAGCAGGAGTCATAGCCCAGGACTTTGGAAAACGAGATCGCCATCCCCACTGCTGGAAAATGCCCTGGGCTCTGAATGCTCAGGGCCCTGGCTCCTGGGACAATGCAAAGGGAAGTGATGCTCTCTGGGATGCAGGAGTGGGGGACGTGGCAGGGGCCTGCAGGGGCTGCACGTGGAGAAGAAAAATGCTGGCTGGGGTCCACAGCACCAGCTTCACAAAAGGGGTGAAGTCTCCTCGGGCTCCAGGCTGGCCGAAAAGCGGACGATAATGCAGCAGCTGGCACGGGAGGAGCAGGCGGCCAACCTCAGTCACGCAAACACTAGGCTGGGAGGCTCCCTGCAGGCAGAATAGGGTCCCACAGCCCAGGCAGGGTCTAAACACGTAAGCAACTGCACAACCTTCCTTGCCTTCTGGGACCCAGAACCCGGCGATGCGAGTCGGAGAGAAAATCCTGTTCAGGATAAACGCCAGGACTTGATTCTGGGGCGCCCAAGGAGAAGGCGCACAGCTCAGTAGCAGGAAGTGCTGTGACACGGTGCAGACACGGCTTGAGCCAGGTGAACGCTGATGTCACCTCCACTCTGAGCCTCAGCACCCTGGCCTGTAAAATGGCCACTTCATCCTCAACGCTGCCATGTGCGCCTCGTGCCACAGGCAGAGGCTCGTGTGTCGGGCACCCAGACCGTCATCCGAAGCTCTTGAGAACTGGCCGTGTACCAGGCCCCGGGTGGTCCCGGACAGCAAGGGCCCCTCACTGGGTGGCAGAGCAGCCAGGACCTGGGAGCTTGGACCACTCGTCCGAGTCTGCAGTGAGGTAGTTGGAGTCCCTGACCTGTGTCTCCAATTCTGATGGACAGAGATGGAGCTAGGACGACTCTGAGTGACTCTGTTTTGTTGTGTTTCTCTTTGAGAGACAGAGAGAGAACAACAGAGAGAGTGAGCTCCCATTTGTAGTTCACTCCCCAGAAGGCTGCACTGCCTGGGGCTGATGCTGGCCACTCAGCACTGGAGGTGGCAGGAACCCAGTCACTTGAGCCACCACCACTGCCTCCCAGGGTCCACACTGGCAGGAAGCTGGTGTCAGGGGCCACAGGAGGGTACTGACCCCAGGAACTCAGACCGGGTGTCTCAATCTCGGGGCCCAGGGCCTGCCCCACCCACCATGGGATTCTCAAATGCATCCCTAGCTCGTCTCACGGAGGAAGGTGAACACGGTGGCATCCACAGCAGACCCTACCTTTACAGCAACAATGATGGTCTGGTTGGCCCCGAAAGGCTCCTGGGCAACCACTTCCAGTGTGGACATCCCGATCGCAGACCCCGCCGCAAGGAAGCCCTTCTGGTCAACGCGCACCACGGGCACCTTCTCAGGCCCATCCAGGAGTCGGTAGCTCAGAGAGGCCACACTGTCCCTTTGGGAAACAGAGACGGGTTTGGAAGGCGGCAGCGGGTAAGGCTGCAGTGCTGGGGACCCGCGGCCTACAGCTCCCATCTGCCCCTGCGACAAGAGAAACGTCCAGTCTCGGCCCCGCAGGGCCATCAGTCGTCACGGCGGGAAACCTAAGTCAGAAAGCCACGGGCTCCAAGGACAGCGTGGCAGGCAGCTCGTGGCTCCTCCCACATCCCAGGGCAGCGTGGGCTGCAGTCAGCTAGCGGGGAGCGGCCACCAAGAGGGATGCGACTAGTCCATCAGTGCCCAGGGACACTGCAGCAGCAAATCCTTGTCAGTTTGCTAAAATGAGGCAGCTGGGCATGAGCGGGACAGGACTTCAGGCCAGTCCTAACGGTCCCTGCCGGCAGCCGGGGCCCGCCGCATCTCCTCTATCAAGGTGGGGAGGGGCGGGCGTCAATTTTCTGGGGCTGCAGCTCAGGGGGGTGTCTGCATGCCACTGGCTTTGCCCACAGGGGAGGAGCCACATCAGACAGCATCTTACACTCTGCATGGTCACTGGTATGGAAGAGAACAGGAGGCAAAGCCTCTGGCCCCTGGGCTGGCCACCTCTCACCTCCCTCCCTGCCCAGCCCCACAGCCCCTGCAGACTGAGCAGGGGTACTGCCTCTGCGGGCACGTCCCCATTCCCTTCCTCACAAACCAGGTGCTCCTCTCCATCCTGCCGCACCGATTCCTGCTCACAGCCCTTCTCTCGCAGCTATCCTCCAGGGCACCGCATGCCACGTGTCTCACCGTCCCGGAGCCAGCACAGAGCTGGCACTTTGCTCCTTCCAGCTGAACAAACCCCGTGTGCGTGTCCGTGTGCCCTACAATGGCTACGTGACCCACACAGAGGCATCCTTAGGAAGGATGCCTGCCCCTGGAAATCAGAAGTGGGAACCACACTTGCATCATGCTTCAAAGTTGCACCTCCCAGACACTCCCGGGCCACACAGCTGCCTGGGGGTCCTGCAGGAGCATGTGCCTCGGCATGGCTGGGCCGGAGGTTTGTGTATTCCTGTGGTCCCCAGAGCCGCTGCAGCTGCAGCCTCAGGGGCTGCCCTTTGAGCGGTGGGTCTTAAAACCACAGGGGCTGGGGCCACTGCTGTGGCGTAGCGGGTGAAGCTGCCACCTGCAGTGCCAGCATCCCATATGGCACCAGTATGAGACCCAGCTCAAACTCCACTTCCGATCCAGCTCTCTGCTATGGCCTGGGAAAGCAGCAGAAGATGGCCCAAGTCCTTGGGCCCCTGCACCCACATGGGAGACCCAGAAGAAGCTCCTGGCTTCAGATCGGTGCAGCTCCAGCCATTGCGGCCAACTGGGGAATGAACCAGCAGATGGAGGACCTCTCTCTGTGTGTAACTCTAACTTGCAAATAAATATTTAAACCACAGGGGTCGGGCTCTAGTGCTGTAGCATAGTGAGTCAAGCCGCTGTTGGCAGTGACGGCATCCCATATGGGCACCAGTTCGAGTCCCAGCTGCTCCACTTCTGATCTAGCTCTCTGCTAATGTGCTTGAGAAAGCAGAAAATGTCCCAAGTCCTTGGACCCCTGTACCTACATAGGAGATCTGGAAGACACGCCTGGCTTCTGGCTTCAGACCGCCCCAAACCCAGCCACTGCAGCCATTTGGGGAGTGAACCAGCAGGTGGAAGATCTCTGTCTCTCTCTCTTTCTCTCTCTCTGTAACTCTTTCAATAAATAAATAAATAAATAAATGTTTTTAAAAAACCCCACAGGGGCATTTGGAAGATCGAGCATTCCACACTGGTACATGGTCTCTGTTTTGAAGAGTAGATTTCAGAGCAGGCAGGGGAGGGGGAGATGTGGGCAGGGCAGCGGAGGATGTGGGCAGCCAGGGACAGCGGGGATGCAGAGGCTGCCCGAGTCCAGCATCCACCGACAGCACCCAGCTCCTGCCGACTTTGACAAGTGCAGTGTCAGGGACAAGCATGGCAGCAGGGCTGAGCCACGCACCTGTTTGTCTGCAGCCTCAGAAGCGAGTTGGGTGACATGAGTATCTGCTCTGCTTCGACAGCAGGGCCCAGCAGCCGCAGCCTCTCAAACACCTGGAGAAGAGAGAGGGGCAGTGTCACTGCCTGTGCTCCGCAGGGGTGATGCCCGGCCCAGGCACCTGCAAGCTCAAGTGAGAGCAGAGACCAGGAACCCGCTGGGCAGCTCCTAGCAGGTAGCTGGGGCGGGATGGGGAGGCTGTAAGAGAGGTAAGAAACAGCAGGCAGGGCCTGCTTGCACCCCTGGACGGCGGCAGCAGCCTCTCCGAGCCAGGATTTGAGTCGTCTCCCTCCATTCAAAAGGGCTCCCTGCCAGGGTGCGCACGTGCAGGGCCCAAGGTTGTGCTTGGGCACAGCTCTGCCCGGACTGAGCCTCTGTCTCTCCCCGAGGCAGCTGCCCCTTGCCACCCCCATCTCAGAATCACCCCCATCCCACCAACTTGGCCCTACCTCACTCATTCACTGCTGCCATGCTGCAGGGCCCAGGCACAGGGCCATGCCCTGAATTCAGTTCAATTCCGCCCAGCAGTTGAGCAACCCGATAGCACTGGATCCAGCCTGATCCCGTCAGCCCACAGTGGCTGCACCCACCGGGAACTCCAACCCCTGCTCTGCACGCCTCCTCACATGCCACCATCTACACCTCCTCTAGGGCCCCTTGCAGCCGAAGGGCCTGAGCAGCACCACCGGGTGCTTTTCCCAGAGGAATTGGGCCTGGTTCGCCTGCTGCCTAGCACCTCTGGGTTCCAGCTGCACCCCTAAGCCTAGGTTCCCTTCTCTGCGGAATGGTGGAAAAGGGATCGTCCTTGCCAGACAAGTGTTTATGTGACAGTCTGTGGCTGTGTGTGTGCCTGTGATTATCTATGCATGCTTTTCTATGCGTCTGCGTGTTTATGTGTCTTCATATACATACAGATCTGTGTGTGTCTATGTATATGTACGTGCACGCTGGGTGTGTATATATGCTTCTCCGTGTCTGTGTCCGTGCGTCTCCATCCACACATCTGGGTGTGTGTTTCTATGTGTCTATGTCCATGCACCTCTATCTATGTGTGTTCACCCGTGTTTAGGTGCTTCTCTGTGTGTCCATGTGTCTCCGGGTGTGCATTTCTCCATGTACACGCCTGCCTAGGTATACATCTGTGTCCATGTCTGTATATCTCTGTGTCAGGGTAGGGGTGTACTGCATGTGTTTCTGCATGTGTACTTGTCTGTCTGGATGTGTTTACATGTTTGTGTGCATGCATGTTGTGTCTGTGTCAGGGTGCAGGTGTGTGCACATGTCTGTATGTGTACATGCTGCGTATCTGGCTGTGTTTCAGAGAGCTGGATTGGAAGAGGAGCAGCCGGGACTAGAACCAGCACCCATATCGGATGCTGGCACTTCAGGCCAGGGCTTTAACCCGCTGCACCACAGCGCCAGCACCCAAGGTGCTTCTTTAAGAACTGTCTTAACTGGGCTGGCGCCACGGCTCACTAGGCTAATCCTCCACCTTGCGGTGCCGGCACACCGGGTTCTAGTCCCGGTTGCCCCTCTTCCAGGCCAGCTCTCTGCTGTGGCCAGGGAGTGCAGTGGAGGATGGCCCAAGTGCTTGGGCTCTGCACCCCATGGGAGACCAGGATAAGTACCTGGCTCCTGACATTGGATCAGCGCGGTGCGCCAGCTGCAGCACACCGGCCGCGGCGGCCATTGGAGGGTGAACCAACGGCAAAGGAAGACCTTTCTCTCTCTCTCTCTCTCTCTCTCTGTCCACTCTGCCTGTCAAAAAAAAAAAAAGAAGAAGAAGAAGAAGAAGAAGAAGAAGAACTGTCTTAACTGTTCTTGACTGGGCCATGCATGGGACAGAAATTGCTGAATTCTTCCTGAGGAGGGGGTGGGAGCCTGCCTCTTTCTCATGATACTTGGGGGTCCCATTCAGCTTAGGTGGACCCAGGGGTCAGTGGGTCCCAGATCAGCAGAGGGAGATGTGTGACGCTGAAAATGCTCTTCAGAGCCACTTGCAGTGCCCTGTTCTACAAAGGGATAGAAACTCCATCAAAGCCCCAGTTGGCAAGCAGGTGGAAGGCAGCCAAGAGTGATGGCGGCAGGGCCCTGGCTGGGAGAATCGCTGGGCTCTGAGTGGTTCTCTCCCTCTCTCAGGCTCTGCCAACTCAGCACACTCTGTCCAAAGCCATCTTCCACTCATGATATGACCTCAACCCTTGACCTTCCTTGCATACCTGCCTGTCAGTCTTCACTTAAAGACTAGATGGGTCAACTATCAGACAGTGTGAAGATGGGACCTCCCAGGTTAAGCCACCATCTGCAACCCCGGCATCCCCTACGGTCACTGGCTCGAGTCCTGGCTGCTCCACTTCCAATCCACCTCCCTGCTAATGCACCTGGGAAAGCAGTGTAAAGTGGCCCAGGTGCTTGAGCCCCTGAACCCATGTGGGAGTCCCAGAAGAAGCTCCTGGCTCCTGGCTTTGAACGGCCTAGCCCCAGCCATTGCAGCCATTTGGGGAGTGAACCAATGAACAGAAGACCTCTCTCTCTCTGTAACTCTGCCTTGCAAATTAAGAAAATACATCTTTAAAATAAAGTGTGAGGAGGTGCATTTACCTCTTGTGAGTGCCCTGTGTTTGTTAAATAAACACAGATAATTAAACAAGCTCCATCCTCCTCCCAAGATGAAAGGTACACCCCAGACCCTGCGTTAAAACAACCTGCTGCTGTTGGACCACACCAAGTTATTCCAGACTCCCGGCCTGGGGACAGGCTCCTCCCTCCCCGGAGTGTCATTCCTCAGCTGGCCCTATTCCTTGGCCCCCAGTGCACTGCACACCAAGCCCCCCTGTTGGCCACAGGAGCCTAGCTCTGCCTCACAGCAGTGTCCCCAGTCCCATGCTCCGGGCCAAAAACAGAAGTGCTGGCATGGAGCTGCGTGGCCTTGGGGGAGAAAGGCACACGTGGTTCTGCCCGCCTGTCCCTTACCTGGATTTGGATCTCATCCGAGAGTTCCTGGGCGAGGCCATGCAGCTGCCCGGCAGAGGGGTCCACAGCCTTGGCCACCACCCTCAGCCCTGTCCGGCCTTTTGCCCGCCCGAACACATTCATGGCAAAGTTGTACTGCGAGGGGAGCCGGATGGATGCCTGGGCAAGACATGAGGTGGGTTTTCAGGGAAGAAGCCTGGGACCCAGGGTCACTGAGGCAGAGCTGCACGGCAGCGCTGGGCCCAGCCCTCGGGTCCAGGGTGACAGCTGCCTGCCTTCCCGCCTCGGTTGGATCTGCTAACCGCCTCCTTCCAGCAAACGCTGGCTGAGACACAAGCTGGGGTTCTTCACCGGCCATGTCTCAGAGCCTTGATGTGTGGTGAGCGATGACCCCACCCTCAGGACACCGGGCCTTGCAGGATGCCCCACAGAGCCTGCTCTACTCACAGGTTGCTGCCCACAGCCCATGGATACCCTGGGCCAGGCCCAGGACCCTGGCCACAGCAGGTGGGGGACAGGAGGTATCTGCCCTAAGAGCGGCCTCCGTGATGCTCTGGAATGCTGCCTTCTGTTAGTGGAGGTTCCCGCACACCCCGTGTGCAGGTGGGTGTTTGGGAGAAATAGTGCCATGGGCGTGGAGACAAGGACTTCCTGTGAGGCTCCAGACCCCAGGGCAGGAGGTGGCGGGGGCTCAGGGGCAGGGGGTTACCTCCTGGTGCCGCCCTCGGAGGTCCAGAATGTCCCGCTTGGTGACGGACCAGTGGAAGGTCAGGCCTGGCACAGCATTGCCGAAGGAGAAAGGATTCTGGTTGTTGGTGATCCCGGTGATATACACAGGCATCTGTAAGGAGAAGCCAGGCCCTGAGACCCCCGCGTCCCCATGCTAGGAACACCCCCCACAGCTTTCCTGCTTCCTGCATGCAGTGGGAGCTGTGCCCACGTCTTCCCAAGCCAGAGAAGGGCATGGTGCAGGCTTGTGAAGGTCTCAGGAAACGTGATCTGACCAGAGGCCAAACCAGCCCCTTCCTAACCTGTCTGCCTCCTGCTTAGGATGCAACCCTTCCTACCCCCTACCCCAGCCCAGGGATGACCTCTGGAATGGCCCCTGCAGCTGTGGGATGCCCAGCTCTGTAGCTGCCCCACCCCAGGCAGCACAGCTCGCCCTGCTCCACCATCTTCAGGCCTCTGCGCTGCTCCCTCCTAATGTAGCTCACAGTGGGTAAGCCTGGTAGGATCCACCAGATCAGTCTATTGGCCAAGTGTCTGCCAGAAGGCAGAGAGAAGCGATGCAAAATGCAAACGCAGATGCCAAGGCAGCCTGACCATGGAGTCCCAGCACTGCCAAGCATAGGTGCGCGAGCTGAGCACAGTCTGAGCTCTCGGTGTTCATCCGCTCGTCGCCAACACGGAGGTGATTACGACACTAAGCTCCTGGGGCCGTTATGATGCCCGCGTGGGTTAATGCTCAGAGCCAGGCACGGGCTAGGTGGTGCCAACACATGAGCTCTGGGTGTGTCTGGGTGCTGTGTCAGGTGTGGGAAGAGGCAGTCTCCTGGAGGAGCAGTGCACGCGGACCCCAACGGGACAAACACTGCACTAAAAGAACTTCAGAGAGCAACAGGTGTCTCCAGGGCTGAAGCTGGAGCAGAGCCCCGTGGAACACTGGGGGCAGCGGATGAAGGGTCCAGGGCAGGCGTGCTCCAGCACACAGTGGACTGTCCTCCACCAGCGGCTCACTTGGAGTGGGGTTTGAACGCCTTGGCCTCACGACAGGTTCCTGTCTCACCTGGGTCCCGGTCCTCATGCGTGTGATGGGGGCGCGGATCCTCACGGCCCGGAGCTGCAGCACCTCCACCTCCACAATGTCCTGGGGAGAGGGCTTGGGGGCTCAGGCAGGCTGGCAGAGGCCGGGTAAGCAAGGGGGGTTTGAGGAGGGACCCCTCCAAGGAAAGGAGGCCCTGCCCGGTCACGTGGCTAAAAGACACCAAGAGGACATCCAGGAGTCTGTGCTCCTCTGCCACGGACTCTACAGCGGGTGCCTAGCCCCCGCAAACTGGGCACGTCCTTCTCCATGCCCCAGGAGTCCCAGCCTGGTCTTCTGGTCCAGCTGCTCTAGGTCAGCACTGTAAACAGCAGCAGGGCCTGGAGTCTGCTCCTGTCCAGCCTTGGCAGTCACCTCACCACACCCAACAGGTCTCTAGAGCTCCCCCCAACTCCAAACCCAGCACATCTGGCTGAACGAGCAGGGAACAGGACAAGTGGAGGAGCCTGGCAGAGTGCCGTTAGACTCAGTTTTACACCCTCTGCATTCTGAACTCCATGCTCCTATTGACCTGGTTGAAGACCAACTTTCCTGCTTCATGGTGCTGGTAACTCATGCTGAACTCAGACCACTAAAACCCCCCAGCCTCTGTGCCCGGGCTGAGCCCATCTGAGGCCTGGCCTTTCACAGGTGCTCCGTAAGCACCATTCCCTTCCTTTCCTTCGTCTGCCTCACGGTTTAGCCTCCTCCCGCCAGTCTGGGCCAGCCCTCGGCCTGGGAATAATGGTTCTGTGTGACCTGGACTGGAAGCATCTGACCAGTCAGAAGCTCGGTGTGGACACATGGGCCCCACCCAGGCCAAGCCTCTGCCTGGCTGAGCTCTACAAAGTGCATCCAGAGGGGGGCAGTGGTGCAGCCCCTCGTCAGACAAGGACCACCAGCGCCCTTCCCCAGCACCTCCTCGACTAGCCAGGTCGTGGGTGCAGAGTCAGGCTGCAGAGGGCTGGCCGCGAGGTGGTGCCTGGCAGAGTGCACTGGGGCTTAGTTTCTAGCAGCTGCCCTTTCAGCCACCTGGGCCCTGGGGAGGAATCAGAGTTGGTTCCTGGACCACCCCCTCTGCATCTCATTCTCCGGGCCCTGCCCCGCCGGTCCCAGTTTCTACACTGTCAGTGCCCTCCTGCTGTCTACACAATTGATGCCCAAAACTGGGACATCCACCTGTGAGTCACGCAGGCCTTCGCAGAGTAACCGGCACACTTGGAGGCAGATGTGGAATCGGCTGGCCAAGGGAGGCAGGCAACAAACTCCATGTTGGCGCGAACACAGCTTTGGGCAATAAGGATCTGGGGCCAGCCCTGGGTCCTGGTGCCGGCGTCGGCACTCTGGGCTCAGAGCAGCTCAGAGCACTGCCAGGGGACCTAACTGTGGACAAGAACTGGGGCAGCTGGGTCCTGAGGAACCAAGCACTCAGCCCCAGTCAAGCAATGTGCCTCCAGGCTCCTTCTGCGGCCCAGGCTCCCGGCGCAGCTGAGCAAGCCCGCACAGCAGCCGTCCTTCAGGTACTTTTGCAATCACTGTGGGTGAAGGGCGCCAGGCACAACGCCGGAGCCTTTCCCAGGAGGTGGAAACGATCTCCCGCCTCCTCTCCAGAGTGCCAGCGGGGACCCTCCCCCTGGAAAGGAAGGGAAACTGTCAGTTTCCAGATGCCGACTCGCACCTGCTCCGAGTCAGGGCCAACAACGCGGGCAGAGACGTTGGGCAGAAGGGGCCAATGATTCAGCTTTCAGCTCCCCCGCTGCCCTGGAAAAGCCGTCAGGTGTTGTCCTGCCCCAGCAAGACACCTGGACGCTAACTTAACCTCTGGCTGAGGAAGACACCCGTGGTGACTCAGGCTTTCTTGATCTCCAGGAAGGACAAACCCAGGTCCGAAACACGATCGAGTTTCAATTATCTACACTGTAGCACACCCCTCTGAAGACACAGGCTGCACGACCCAGGCACAGCATGCTCCCCTTCCACAGGCACCTCTTGGAGCCACGACCCAGCACTGTCACCCAGCGGCCGTGGGCCACAAGGGGTCCCTTGGTTTCCTCCTCTGCAAATGGGGACAGCAGCAAAACAAACAAAAGGGCCACAGACTAACAGAGGCAGGTGCCATATGCTCTGTTAAGGGGCTGCCATAGGAACAGCCAGCACTCTTGGCTGGAATGTCCCTGGGGTGTGAGTGGGGTGTTGGGGACCCGGGTCCTGTGAGCAGTGGCTAGAACTGGGGAGACAGCCAGGAGAGGGACAGCCCCGGAATACACGGGCTAATGGCCCACAGTCTTACAGAGCGCCTGTCCTGGGAGGCAGAGCCAAACCAGGACCCAAGGCATCGCCCAGCCCCAGAGCTTCCCGTCCCAGGTCACCATCTGCTACCTGGGAGATGACGACAACCTTGCCAGTCTCCGCGTCCACGGCCTGCACGACCCCAGACACCGTGGCGTTGCCAATGGTGAGCCCGCGCACCAGCCCGGCACCACTCACGGCTGCGACGCTCGCATTGCTGATGGAGAAGAGGATGTTGGACTGAGGCTGGGGACCGCCCTCGGAGGTGATCTGAGGGGTGAGAAACGGTGGCACCCGTCAGCCCCGCAGAAGCTGCCCAGCACAGCCGTCTGCAGTTGGGTGCAGGCGGAGACCTTCCTTGGGCACCCCTGGAGCCAGGGCAGGCGGGTGGACTGCTTGGCTCCTACCTGCATGGTGGCCCCGATGATCAGCGTCACCTTCCTGGGTATCAGCATGAATGGGGGAAAGACCTGTGTGTGGAGACACAAGACACGGGGGCTGATGTGTTTCCAGCATACATGGCCATGTGTGCTCACACAGGACACTCTGGGAGGGCACAGCCTTGGGTAGAGCAACCTCCGGTGCCCAGGTTCTGGGCCAGCTCAGGAGTGCCCTATGCCCTCAACAGCAGCCAAGGCGCGGCCTCTCTGGGGCGTGTTCTGCTGTTTGTGACTTTCTCCCACCTCACCAGACCCCTGACCCACAGCAGACAAGGAACTTTGCTCTGCCCAAAAGGCCCCAGAGCAGGGGTTCTCAGCTTGTGGTCTGGGCCAGCAGTACCAGCTCGGCCTGGGCCCCCTAGGCTCACGGGCTCAGAGGAGGGTCCTGCACGCTGGGTCCTAACCAGTCCTAGGGAGACTGTGCACAACCGCTGCCTTTAAAAGCGTCAACTCTTCTTTGGAAGGTTGCCTTTTACCCTCTCCAAATTTCTACAGGAAAAAAAAATGCCTTAGGATAGTTCTCCACCTCCATGCCTTCAGCATCTTCCAGGGAGAAAAAAGGGGCTCAACAGGCAGGGCCATGCCGGGGCGGAGACCAGCGTGCAGGTACAGAGAGAGCCATGCCCCACCCCACCCCTGCCTCCCGCTTTGCCCCAAGTCCCTGCTGGCTTGGAGGTAAGCGCGCACGCCAGCCAGCCAAGGGCTGTTCTGCGTGTGGGGATTAATCTTCACAGGGCCGTGCTATTTACAGGCACAAACGAATTCCTCCTCGCCAGGAGCAGAAAGGTGTGCTTCCTTCAGCAGGCACAAACTGCCTGCCCTGGCTTCGCGATGGGGATTAATGAAGCCTGGCAGACCCCACATGGCCAAGCCCCAGCAGAGGACATGGGCAGGTGCCTTCGACAGCCACTAACAGACACACATGGCCGGAAGTCCTGGCCAGGGCTGCAGGGCTCCTGTCAAACCTAACACCACACATCGGCCCGTGTCACCCACGGACACGGTGCAAGAACTGCCTTCTCCAGGGTCAGCTCTACAGAGACAGGAGCTCACTGGCTCAGGTTCAGAACCAAGTGAGAGCAAGCTCCTGCCCACGTCAGCTGAAATCAGTCTGCCCTCCGGTCAGGCCGCTGCTCTCCAGGAGCAGGTCTTGCCTGTCCCCTTGCCCCAAGACACGGCACACTCCCCAGAGCCACCTGGCCCTCATGCCACAGAGGGAAGTGGAGGCAAGTCCATCGCTCCCATAGGTTCCTCCAGCCTAACTGCTGCCTCCCAGACCACCGGGCCTGGTGACAGCTGCTTTTTGATCAGAGGACACAGGACAGCGGCCGTAACACAGCCTCTCTGGAGTGCCTGTCTGGACTGTCGCTAGCACTTCCAGCCTATCCCAGGAGAGACCCCTCCCCTGCAGGGGCCGCGGGCGCATGGTGCAAAGGAATCGCTTTACTTCTATCTGCTGTGGGGCCGAGCTGATTTTCTGTCCGGCTTTATCAGTCACGCTGGCGGTCAGACTGGTCTGGCCAATGGCTGTGCCGTGGACGAGGAATGTGGTGGTGTACTTGTCCAGAGCTTCATCCAGGACCCTGTAATACAGGAAAGGGCTGGGACCCATGGGGCCAGCACTGCCCCGGAGATGCCCTCCTGACCCCTGGGAGGACTCACACCAGGGTGACGATCTGGGAGGCTGCTCGCAGCTTCAGCTCCATGAAGGCAAAGTACGAGGCCAGGAAAGGCTGCTTGTAGGAGTCCAACACACGGACATGGGCCTTGACCGCCTTCCCGATCTCCACCTGCCTCGCGGGGGACATGTGGTCAGGGGCGGCCTGGGAATGACCCATTTCCCCACCTCTGAGCCAGCATACCAACCTCAAACTCACAGACCTGGGACCCGCGGTGAGTCACCACCAGCTGAAAAATGACTAAGTGCTTACTGTATACAGAGGGGCATGGGGACACTCAAGAGGCATAAATCCCACTCCCTACTTTTAAATAACTGTCTAATTAGGGAGGAGGGAAAAAAACAAAAAACACAGCTTAGCACAGCATCAGGCATACAACAGGGGGTTAATAACTGCTCACTGACTGGCAGTGTCTAATACATACAGCAAGAATGTTAGGACACAAATGTCAGCAATGCTCAGTGAAGAAGCAGACATCTGGTTATCAAATTAGCAGTGGAAAGAAAATTAGCAAAGGAAGGTTTGAGGCTGGGGGGGGATATGAGCTTCCCAAACAGCCTAAGCTGCCTCAGCATCCTCCTTTCAATGATTAACCAGGCTATACTCGGGGACACAGGACACTTGGGGACACAGGGTCCTCGGCGGACACTCGGGGATGTACACATTGTACACATTGTACGCATTGTACGCATGTACGCATTGTACACATTGTACACATGTACACATTGTACACATTGTACGCATGTACACATTGTACACATGTACACATTGTACACATTGTACGCATTGTACACATTGTACACATTGTACACATGTACACATTGTACACATTGTACGCATGTACACATTGTACACATGTACACATTGTACACATTGTACGCATGTACACATTGTACACATTGTAGAAGCCCAGCTCTAGGCCCCTCAGCAGCTTGGAGTCCTTGCAGCTCCTCCACCTACACTGAAGAACCACCTCCATCTAGGACTTGTGCAAGAGCACTTGGTGCGAGTGGGTTTTACTCACTTGCCACTAAAATTTCAGACTCTGAAACCTGCCTGCTGGGGCGCAGGCTCTTTCGGAGCAAGGCGTGTGCCCAGCTGGTTAGCAGCCCACACCACAGGGGGACACACACACAAGCCAAGGCTAATTTGGAGACGACTTGCAGCAGGATTTACTGCCAAGCTTTACTGATGTCACCCGGGATGGAGAGAGATAATCTGGGAGGCGGCTCTGCACAGCCACACGGAATGAGGGGAGCAAGAGCCAGCACTTGCTCACAGCAGCTCACAGCAACTCGGAGTGGGCGGAGGGAAGCAGAAACCAGGGGCAGAAGCAAAGGGCAAAGGGAAGACACCTCGCCAGAGCCACCTCAGTCTCCCGCTTTCTGCCATGTGAAGATGGGGGCCTGCGTCGGGACGCTTCCACTGACCTTGTCAACCACACGCACGTACAGCTCCTGAATGTCCGAGACACGAACGGTGGCCTTGGCCGGGGCCAGGAAGGCGAGGCACAAGTCATGGATCATGATGGTTGACGAGCCTGGGCGCAGGGGGTGCACCTGCAAGACAGAATGTGGGCTGGGTCATGCGACTGCAGGGCCCCACTTCCACTCACGGGGCCTGCAGCTACTCTCTGCTTCCCTGCCCAGGGACGGCAAGTCCAGCCTTGAGAAGCAGTAGACAAGGAAGATACTAATTCAAACAGTGCCCTGCTCACTCTTGTCACCAGAACAGGCTGGGAATTAAGAGGTTAGTGCTGGCATGGCTCTCAGAGTGTGCTTCGCTCAACTTTGTAACCTTATAAAAGAAGGCAGCAGAAGCTGCTCACGGGGGACTGTATAAGACCACTCTGTTGTTCTAGCAAAACGCCTGAGGGGGGCCGGTGCTGTGAGGTAGTGGGTAAAGCCGCCCCCGCAGTGCCGGCATCCCATATGGTGTCAGTTCAAGTCCTGGCTGCTCCACTTTCCATCTAGCTCCCTGCTATGGCCTGGGAAAGCAGTAGAAGATGGCCCAAGTGCTTGGGCCCCTGTAACCACGTAGGAAACCCAGAAGAAGCTCCTGGCTCCCGATTCAGATTGGTGCAGCTCTGACCACTGCAGTCAATTGGGGACAGAACCAGTGGATGGAAGAGCCCCCCACCCCGCCTCTCCCCCCTCTATGTAACTCTTTCAGATAAATAAATATCTTTAAAAAAAAAAAACACCTGAGGCCGGTGTTCCATAAGGACACAAGGTTGGGAGCCCAAAGTCCAAGACTAGGGGTCCCATTTGTGCAGCCTCTGGCAAGGGGTACCCCCTCTCCACCCACTCGCCCCGCTCTGGCTACATCACAGAAGGGATTAAGTGTATGGGCCGCCTCACTTCACACAACCCACTCCCTCCACAACTCCCTCACTCTGGCCACCCAGCCATAATCCCTTCCCCCGTGACCCGACGACCTCCCACTAGGCCCCACCTCTCATGGGTTCTACCACCTCAAGAATCTTCACACTGGGGACCAAGATTCCCACACGTGTATCCTTGGGGACCACGCAAACCTCAGCAGGTATGGCCGGTGGCCTCGAGATATCCGGCAGCTGGGAGACAGGAGGTAGAGTCAGACCCTAGCCACCGGCCCCCACAGCACTGCTAATAGGGGAGGAAGCAAGCAGGTCCCCCAAGTCGGGAGCTGCTGGATCCCAGGCTCTCCTGGAAACTTGCAAGGTCACAGAACTTGGGGACACGCTGTGGAGATCACCCCCGCGGGCTCTGAGTCTTGCACATCTTGACAACCACAGCCAGTTGTGAGCAGCGATCCCAGAATGTTCCGAGAGAACAAACCGAGTGTTTTCCGGGCTCTGCACTGCCAAGGAGTTTCTTCTCAATCCTTTCCTCTCGCTCATTTCCAGGGATTCCTCTTTCCAAAGAATCTCTCCCCTCACAAACCACACCCCAGCCCCTCTCACGCTGCAGATGTGGGTGCTCACCGGTTCTACACCATCTAGCTAACATGGCCCGACTGCTGCTGCTCCTATGGCGTGGCGCACATTGCAACCAGGTGGTCAGTGGCGCTGGCAGAGCAAGGGGCACTGCTGCTTCCCATGTGCCTGGGCCTGGCTTTGCTGCTTGTGGTTTGTGGTCTCATATTTGTGTGTGCGTGGTGGGATGATGTGTACAGCAATCAGTTCAGTGTCTGCAACCCCCTAGCTGCGGCCACCCTGGCCCTCAAAGGGTCCAGGTTTGGGACTCCCCTTGTCCGCGCTTCCACCTGCCAGCTCCTGCTCGCCCCTAGGCCCCAGCTACAGCACCCTTCCTCAGGAAACTGCCCCTCCCTTGCACACTGCACAACGGTCTAGATGCAGATGGCGGCTCGTGTCCTCCTTCACCTCCAGGCTGCTTTCTGCTCCACAGCAGCGTCGGGACTCAGCCCGGCCCCCCTCTGTGCCCCCACGCACGTCCTCATTAGGTACAGACCCAGAGTCAGCGCCCTGAGTAATTCTGGATCAAAAGGCCTGGTGCTGCAGCTGGCCTGACTTCACGAGACTGCACCTTCCTTGGCTGCGCCTTGGAGATTCTGTAAAAGGCTCCACAAAGACCGCGTGTCCTCATCCATTCGGGAAAAGAGACAAGACCCTTGGATGTGCCAATGGGAAAACTGAGGCCCCTAGAGGGCAGAGCTGGAGACGCAGCCCAGGCAGCAGGGCTCTTAGCTTGGGGCTCCCTTGATTGTACCCTCTGGGAATGCATGCTTCCAGCCACCAGAATGGAGCCGTCAGGGAGGAGAAGATGGAGAGTGTGGGGAGGAAAGGGCCAGGCTGACAACGGCCCACGCCACACGCAGCTGGGGACAGAGGCTCAGTGAGCTGTGCTGAGCCCCAGACTCCAGCCCTCTAATAGAGCGAGGTCACCTCCACAGCCCCAGAGCGTGCCTGGGTTACGTCACACAACGACTCTGAGGAGACTCCTCAGGGTGCAGCACGAAAGGTGTGCCCACACACTGAGCCATCCCTGCGCCAGCCAGGGCCGGGCAGCGGGAGCCACCAGGGGCCCGACTGCTGAAGTCGGGGATCACTGTTCCCCCAGAGAAAGCTCGCTGAGAGATTACTGAGACAAGAGAGCCTTCCTGGAGAGCACGACGGGAGCCTCTGATCTGATCCTCCCGAAAAAGCCAAAGTCACTGCCGGCAGGGGTGACTTTGACGCGTGCGCCCTCACAACATGACACGTGTGTAGCAGTCACCAGGCACGCCGCTGCTGGGGGCACAGGCAGGCTTGGGTTCATCCCCTCTCCTTCAACAGGAGCATTTTGCCTGTAGGAAATGCTGGTGGAGAAATCAAACTCCTCATCCACTTGATGTCCAGGGGAACAGATGCCTGGCACCTTCCAGGTGATGGCAGTGGGGTCTGGCATTCAGCCGCCACCTGCAGAGCTCTTGGCCCGTCCCGGGCCACTGCACCCACATCAGCGCATATCACCCCTAAAGCAGAGCTGCAAGAGAGGGTCTGTGAGGCCACTGTGTAGACGTAGAAACCCTCACGGGGAAGGAAGGGGCCTTGCCCTAGCTGGTGGCACCCACTCCTGACTGCATCCTGTGTGGCTCACCTCTCCTGGTCTCTCTGGGCATCTGGGACCCAGATTCTCAACACACGGGAGAACACTGGCAGGATGAATTCGGATTTCTTTCTTTCTTTTTTTTTTTTTTTTTCCACTATTTAAAAGGTAGGTATGTGGCCGGCGCCGCAGCTCATTAGGCTAATCCTCCGCCTTGCGGTGCCGGCACACCGGTCGGGGCGGGACGCCGGATTCTGTCCCGGTTGCCCCTCTTCTAGGCCAGCTCTCTGCTGTGGCCAGGGAGTGCAGTGGAGGATGGCCCAAGTACTTGGGCCCTGCACCCCATGGGAGACCAGGAGAAGTACCTGGCTCCTGCCATCGGATCAGTGTGGCACACCGCCGCGGCAGCCATTGGAGGGTGAACCAACGGCAAAGGAAGACCTTTTGCTCTGTCTCTCTCTCTCTCACTGTCCACTCTGCCTGTCAAAAAAAAAAAAAAAAGAGGTAGGTATGTAAGTAGGTAGGTAGGCAGGTAGACCGCCAGAGCGCCCATCTGCTGTTTTTGCTTCCTAAATGCCTCCAACAGCTGGGCCTGAGCCAGGGCCAGAGTCAGGAGCCAGGAACCCAATCCAGGTCCTCCATGCACAAGGAAAAACTCAATTCCTTGAGCCTCCTCCTGGGGTCTGTCTTGGCAGAAAGGCGGCTGGAAACTGACCCCAGGCACTCTGATGTGTAATGATGCACACATCTCAATGGCTGTGCTCAACACCTCTTGCCCAGGCATTCCAGTCCTGAGGTGGTGAAGGGGCCAGCTGAGGCTGTGGGCAGGCACAAGCCCCGGAGTGCATTATGGCTCACTGAAAAACTGCAATACCTCCTGGTGCCCGCCAGGCCCATCAGTCGAGCCCCACAACACTGATCATGCTTCAGAATTCTCCCAACAGCTGCTGTCCATCAGGGAGTAGGGACCCTACCAACATCTCCGAACGTTACTGCAGCCATCAGCGTCCGCTTCCAGCTGCGCCTGTCGGTGTCACGTTGGGGACCAAGGCCAGCTGCACAAGGGACAATGGCCCCATCACCTGTTGTCCTAGCCCATGAGAAAAATCACAGACATGGAAAAGGGTTCTGGGCTTGAGACAGGTCCCACTGTCCACAGGGCAGGGTCAGCCTCACAGCGGGACCTGCACGTGAGCCCTGCCTTGCCTCCATGGATGTGCCCTGGCTCTGATAGCCACTATGTGCAGGACCAAAGACAGACAGAGTAACGCCTTGGCGGCTCCTGAGAGCGCAACCATCCCCTTGCACCTTGTCACCAGCAAGCCCTCTGCGCCTAGCACAGTGCCTGCCCCACCTCTGCCACGCAGAGCACTGCTGAATGAGAAGTTCCAAGTGCTCCACGCAGCGGGGCCCGTCCCTGCTCTTGTAACTGCATCGGCTCTGCTGGGAAGACTTATTTTGAAATGTAAAGAGCGGCTGAGAAGAAAAGAACTCAAAGTTTAAATCAGGTAAATGCTCCTAGGTGCAAACCAGCCAAAGATGAAACAAAGGCCCCTGTACAGTCTCGGGGGGAAGTGGGGGGTGAGCAGAATTAATCACAGCCCCACACTTGGGGGGCACATCGTGTGGGCATTGGTGCCTCCCCGGGAGCCTGCTGGGGGAGCTCCAGACTCCCCTCCCTGGGGCGCCGGAAGCCACACACACACCCAGGAGCCATTCCTGCAGCGCAGATGCGCATCAGTAGGCAAGAAAGCAACACTTCCTACCCGCTAATTGAAGAGCAGCTCTGGGCTTTCTCGTCGCGGTGATTAAGGGAAATGAGAATGCCACTAATTAGCAGCTGGAAAATGCAGAGAAATGTGTGAATGTCCCCGAGAAGCTGCCACCAGAAGGGACGAAGGGGTGGCCCGGCTGGCTCACACTCCATACTCCGTGAGCAATTTCACCCCCCTGCAGGCACTGAGCAGGACCGGGGGCCAGGATCCGGTTTCCACTTGGAGTCGCAGTGGTCCCTGGCACCAGCTCCAGAG